CTTGCTGTTTGCAGCTCACCCTTTCCATCCTTAGCAGCTGTGGGAACTAAGGCTGGCTGTAGTTGAGGACAACACCAGGTTATGGTGTTCATCTGAGAGAGAGTGCAAAGAAATGGGTATGCCCCAACATTTGATTGTTCTAATGTGTAACCTATTGTTCTAACATGTAACCTATACTCTGGACAAGAAGCCACTCTAAAAACACAATATGGAAAAATAGAATGGTTTCCCATGTCAAGGGGATTAGCCAAGGCTGCATTTTATCATCCAATCTGTTTAGTTTATATCCAGAACAAATCATATGAAAAGTCTGATTAGAGGAAGGAGGTGTGAAATCTGGAGGAAAGAACCTTAATAATTTAAGCTGTACAAATGATACCATATTACTAGCAGAAAATAGCAAAGACTTGGAACAATATATATATAAAGTTATATAACTTTAAAGTGGACAATGAAGATATCAAAATTGTTTTGTTTTGTTTTGTTTTTTAAAAAAAGTAAATTGCCCTCAGTCCTAAACTAAAATGGAGACTGTAATAAAGAATTCTGAAGAAGACTGAGATTTGGAAGAGCTTTTATGAAAGAATTGGAAAAGATCCACAAGTGTAAAAATATATCATTAAATTCCAAAGTCAACTTCATCCATACCTTAGTATTGACAGTTACCATATATGGAAATGAAAAATGGGCAGTGCTAGAACACCCTAGCAGAAAATTCTAAGTACTCACTAAAGTAGAAATCTCAGAATTGTTTAGGGCAGAATCATGACAGTTAAAATATTGCCTGTGTTGTGAAGATATACCTCAGATGACCTGAAGGACACCAGGAACCCATTCACACTACAGAATTATAGTCCTGTGATTTCACTTTAACTGCCATGGCTGCATCCTATATAATCCTGGGATTTGTAGTTTGATGAGGCACTAGAGCTCTCTGGCTGTTAATCTAAAATAACTTTCCCTGACCTGCCAATCTCAGGATTCCATAGGATGGAACCATGGCAATTAAAGTGGAATAAAAGATGTATAACTGTATAGTGTGAATGGCCTCCAAATTGGGAAAAACTAACTAGGGGCTAATCTAGACTTCAGAAATAATGCAGTTTGATGCTTCTTTAACTGCCGGGGTTCCATCCTATAGAATCATGGGATTTGTAGTTTGTTGTGGAACCAGAGCTTTCTGAGAGAGAAGCTAAATATCTCACAAAACTAGATATCTCAGACTTCTATAGCATTGAGCCATGGCAGTTAAAGCAGTATCATTATTTTTGCAGTGCATATTAGACTTCTGACTGGGGAAGCAGACGGGTGGCCGTGGGCCACCCCGGGAAGCTGCACCGCGGGGCCGAGGTATCCCCACACCTCAGCCCTGCGGCGCACCTTTGCCACCCCTGGAACTAAACCCCTGCGGAGCACCTTCGCCGCCCCTGGAACTAAATTGGCGCTCCTTTCACAAGTTGCTGAAGGTGTGCTGCAAAAGCTTGCGGTGCACCTTCGGCGACTCTTCCGCTGAAGCGTGTGTGGACGCTGCAGTGGGAGGTCCTCCTCAGAGTGCCAGCTGTGCGGAGGGCCGGCTTCTCTGAGGACGACCTGAGGAAGGGTTTGGGGCGCCGATTGTGCGGCTGCCCCTCCCCTTCCCTGTCCCCAAAATGGCCCAATTGGCCATCTGCTTAGCCCCTGAGTCTTTCAAAGAAGCTGGAGAGCCTACAGCAGGCAGACTCAGCCTGTGGTGGCAACCTGCTAGAATTCTTTTTGAGGATCCCCTATAAGGAAATAACTCCTACATCTCTAACGCTGGGAATCTCAAGATCTTAAACGTGGACCTTTACTATACAAAACAGGTGCTCCACAAAAGTCATAGGGATTAACTGTGAAGCATGTCAGTCCCTTTGCTTGCATGGGCAAATCTATTATTTTACTGTCTCCAGGATTTTTGTTAAAGATCCCAACTTCTTTCCACCAATGATACAGACATGCCTCATTTAACAAAGTCTCTGACAAAGAAGCTCCTTTTTAGAAAGTCTTTTAATGCCCACCAAGCCACCACCTTTTTGTTCTTGTTTTGTCCTTGCTGTAAGAATTTTTAAGTCTCTGTCTCTGCTGCATATTGGAGAAGCTTTGAAAACTAGACTTAGGGATCATCCTTTCCCCTCAAGCAGATCATTGCCTAACTCATTTGCTGTCCTTTTTTCCCTCTGAGAAACAAACATGCCCAAGCTCTAGTGGCAAGTCTTGTCTGCTGCTGCTTCTAGGGGGAGAAACTTTAGAAGGATCCAGCCTATCCTTCTACTCCTGTCCTCCAACTTTGTGCACATTTTCTTGATTTTCTAGTTACTGAAACTCCACCCACCCACCACCACTTTTTCTGTTAAAATTGCATCTCAGACTTAAAATTCAAATTGATTTTATCTTGCAAGGACTTGACACTCAACTTGAGATTTGAAGGTAGAGACCTGAGAGTTGACTTGGGACTTGGAGTAAAAGACTACATCACTGATTCTTTCTATGATATTTCTGTATCTGGAAACAAATGCATCACTGTATTTTCCATTAAAGAAATAATGCCCAGGAACCTATCTACTTCATTAATTGAGGAAAACATGTATGAGGAAATTTGTGCATTTTAGAAAATTCTTATGAAAACACCAAAACCAAGGAAATTCTCACCCATTTCCTAAGCATCAGCCACTGGAACATAAAGCTACCTACATTAAAGGTGTGCCATTTGTTTCTGTGTGGAGGGTCAATATTCAAATGGTTTGAGATGTTATTAACCATAGTAAGGATTCTCCAGTCATTGACAATATGGCTTAAAACAAATAAAAGTGAGCAAGAACTTTTTTTTTAAAGTAATCATAAGGCATTTGACACAAACACAGCAAATAAGCAATGTATCTTCTTTCTGTCTGAAAACTACAACTCAAGTCTGGTAACTCCATAGGCTGCATTTCCTAAATAGAGCAGGTGCATGACTGATGCTGTGCTATCCATCTTTAACCAGTGGTGATCCACTTAAGGATGAGTCAGAAGGATCACAAAACATGCCCATTACTCCAGTTGCTTGGCCAAAGTATTTCTCAGACACTGCCTAATTCTATTTATTTGACTGGCCCTGCACTAGTATCCATTATCTACTGGGGAGGATTGTTCTTGATCTATTGCAAGGCATGGAGGGGAAGAGCAGGTGTTAAATGAGGAATCTTTGTATTAGTGATTTGTTGGCTGAAATCACAACTACAGTCTTTTCCTTGCAAATCTTGCTATCACCAATAACATGTTCATTATTCATCATAATTCACCAACAAGTAAATGAGCATTTACAACACAAAACCTTGATATCACTGCTACTAGGGGAAGCAAGACTGGAGATTTTTAAGTGGTAGAAAGGTTGGAAGACTTAACTGTCAGGAGATGGAGATGGACAGAGTGTGGCCTTGGCACTTGCTGGAAAAATCCATTTTGATAATCTCCAAATTATTCAATGCATTTAAAACATATGTTTCAGCTATTATGGCCTTATGTTCTTTGATATATCTCTTCTCATCTTATTGTTCTTTGCTTATATTCGATTTCCTTTGTTACCCTTCTTGATGTTGTTCAGATACTTTGTTACTGATTTAATTAACATGTACATTTACTATTTCCTATATATGTTAAATGCAGCAAAACGAGAGAGAGAGAGAGAGAGAGAGAGAGAATGTTGTTGTGTGCCTTCAAGTTATTTCTGATGCAAGGTGACCTTAAGGCAAGCCTATTATGGCGTTTTCTTGGCAATATTCTTTTAGCAGTGGTTTGCCATTGCCTTCCTCTGAGGCCAAGAGTGTGACTTACCCAAGGTCACCCAGTGTATCCATGGCTGAGTTGGGAATTGAACCCTGGTCTCCAGAGTCGTAGTCCAACACTCAAACCACTACACCATGCTGGCTCCTGGCCGTATATATTAAATATTATCTTTATCTATATTAAAAACTCAATTATGCATTCATAAGTCTATGGCTTGATTACTGCAATGCTGCCTACATAGAACCTCCCTTGAAGATTGGTTTAAAAGCTGTAGGTTGTGCAGAATTTTGTATCCTTCCTTTCAGCAAAGGTGGACTACTTCTCCTGTTCTTGTTTGTCCTATTCTTGTTCATCTGCAGTGGCTGCCAGAAAGCTTCCAGATCTAATCCAAAGTGTTACTCTTTTTATGGTTTTATATTCAGAATTTTAGTTAAAAATACAAAAAGGCTTAAGTAGAGAAGTTCTAAATACAAAGAGTTGTTAACATTACTGGTCTTTAATACATTTTGTTGTCTTCTTTTTTTGTTATTTTCCTTTATCTTCTCATTACAGAACCGATGCTTTGAGGTATTTTGTTCAGCTCCAAAGTCAATATTGTCCACAACCGCATGTCCATTAAAATGGGTTTCTCCAAAATTCCAGTTAGCTTTTGCTGTGGGTACCAGTGAGATTATTCTTCATATACAAACACAATAAATGTATTCCATACCAACCAAAGATGTTCTGTTGGGTTTCTTTTATGCAAGGCCTTAGTTTCACTGACATTTTTTAAAATAGGAGAATACACCATACTCTGCTCAGCCAGTTTATTAAGGACAAGATGCCTGTTTTTAAAGTCTAATTAGTAAGACCCTGAGAAACTGGAAGAGTACTTTTTTTTACACATTCTTATTCACTGAAGACAATTGAGGAAGCTTTGCTCCACAGCTTATCCTTTCAGAAGCTTGAGTCAAGAAAGGGCAAAATGCTTTCTTGGACATTTCACATCAGCTTTTGTAATGGGTGTGCTGGCTACAATTGATGGGAGTTGTAGTGGAGACTTCTAAGTCAAGAAAAGCCCAGAGAAGAATCTTTTTGGTGGTTGCACCAATATTGTGAAATTTCCTACCTGATTTGAATCATTGGACATCTTTGTCTACTTTTATACAACATGGAAATCTAGCTATTTCAGTTGGTTTTCAGAATGTCTAAAATGGTTCTGTCCTGGTTCTGAACTGTGCTCATAGTTTTTAAAAAAATATATTTTAGATGTATTTTATTATTTGTTTTCTATTTATAAATAAATACAAAAAACAAAATACCTAAAAATCCTGAATACAAACTAAACAAATATAATGGATTTTACCTGTGGCTAAGCGTGCATAGAATTGTAGTGTCAATGTGTGTATCTGCACCATACAGTTATGCTAGTTTGATAACCCTTTAATTGTCTTAGTGCCATCTTATGAAATTCGAGGATTGGTAGTATTTAAATTTTTCTTCTGTAGTTCTGGGAAATGCACCAGAACTCCCTAGTAGAGAATTCTAAGTACTTCACCAAACTATAAACCCTGGAGTGAAGTCATAAGCTTTCATGGCCGGCATCCATAGTTTTTGGGGGAGGGTTTCTAGGCTGTGTGGCCATGTTCTAGAAGAGTTTCTTTTTGACATTTCACCATCATCTGTGGCTGGCACTATAAACCCTGAGATTTCTTCTAAATTCCTTTTCCAATAATTACCATTTACTAATTGTATTCACTAACATTTGCAGAGTGAACCTTGTTAAACTGTACTAATTTTAGAGACCGGGTTAAGAGAAGTTCTTTCTTTGTTACTTTTCCCATTTACCACCTTCAATGGTCTATTCCTTTAGATCTCCTTCAAGAGGTTCAGAAGAGGTTGGTAAAAGTTCAGATCAGGCTTTGATACACTTCTTCCTGGTCTCATTAGGACATTTGAATTCTTGTCTAGTTAAGGTCCTTTCTTTTCAGACCCTGAGTACTTTTTGAGCAAGTTCATCTCAAGGTGGCTAGGCGTTGATTGAGGAGAGTATTTCATGATATAAAGACCCCCACCCACCCATTCAGAGTTTCTCTCTACATCTAAATAAGGGCAATATTTACTGCTCTTGAGACTCTGTGGACAAGACCAGGTTTCTCTTGTATCCTTAGAAAAAGAGAAGAAAGCTTACTACATAACAGAAATAAAAGCAGAATGTCCTTTCTCTGAGATCACAACTGAAAAAAAGAAGAAAGAATTGGACATCATCACAACCTCTACGCCATCTATATGTGGAGAGGCAGTGTAGCTTAGTGATATATATATATATATATACACACACACTTACACTTCACCATCAACCTACAAATAAATTGGAATTTCCAACCATTCATTTTTCATAATATTTTATTGCAAGTTAGAAGGATACAGTAATGATGAAAAGGGGGAAAGAAACACAAAACACAAAAAAAATAAAAATATAAAAGAACAAGGTATGAAGAATAAAGATTAAAGAACAAAGAAAAAAGTTACATCCATTTTTCATTTTAGAGGTAATATAGCAGCATGGTTATTTCACTCTTTAACTAAAAAATCAGCAATTCTCTTCTTTCCATATCCTATTCCCATTATTCCTCCAGCCCAAAAATATTTTCCTTCTTTACAATGGTAACATAACTAACATTCACTTTTTTCTATAATTATATGAGCCCTTATTTTTTTCCAATCTTGACACAATTATGTAATACCAATCCTTCTAATTAAAACTGTAATTAATTACTTCTAATTAAAACTATAAATCTATTACATATAACAAAACAGCATTATATCCAATTATATCCAGTCACACCTGTGAAGAGATCCAGGACTTAAATCCTGGAAATCAAGTGGAGAGCATCTGGATAAAAATTAAAGTGGAAGGAAACAACAGGGATGTTATTGTGGAAGTCTACTACAGACCCCCAAGTCAGACTGAGGAATTGGATGATGCCTTTCTAGAACAGATGACCACACACTCAGAAAGGAGAGATGTAGTACTGATGGGTGACTTCAACTATCCTGATATTTGCTGGAAGTCAACCAATACTTCAAGGTCTAGCAAATTCCTCACTTGCCTTGAAGACAATTTCTTTGTCCAAAAGTGGAAGAGGAAACAAGGGGATAAGCTATTTTATATCTGATCCTAACCAACAGGGATGACCTGGTAAATGGGGTGCAAGTGGTGGGATCTTTAGGTGGGAGTGATCATATTCTCCTGGAGTTTTTTATACAATGGAAAGGAGAAGCTAGGCATAGTCAAACACTTATTCTAGACTTTAGGAGAGCTGATTTCAACAAACTTAGGGATACATTGGGAGTGATCCCGTGGTTAGGAATACTAAAGGAGAAGGGAGTTCAGGATGGATGGGAGTTTCTCAAAAGGGAGATACTGAAGGCACAACCTCAAATTGTTCCAATGAGAAGGAAAAATGGGAGGTGTCTCAAGAAACCGGGTTGGATGACAAAAGAACTTTCAACTGTACTAAGTTTTGAATAGGAGATGTATAAGAAATGGAAAAGGGGTGAAATCACTAAAGAGGAATTCACACAAATAGCTAGCACATGTAGGGCTAAAGTCAGGAAAGCCAAAGAGCAGAATGAGCTCAGGCTTGCTAGAGGGGTTAAGGACAATAAAAAGGGATTTTTTTAGGTATGTCCGTAGCAAAAGAAAGAAGAAGGAAATGGTAGGGCCACTGTGTAGAGAAGATGGAGAAATTATAACAAGGGACAGAGAAAAGGCAGAACTACTCAACACTTTCTTTTCCTCAGTCT